TTTTCAAATGGTTTGCTGCTGTCTGTTTGAACTTTTCTGAACATGTGCAGCAAATGGACTGATCCAATATGGTGGACACTGAATTGGTTTTAGCGTATTAGCTGATAATACGCTAATATTATCAGCATTCTGATGGAATTTTAGCCAAAGGATTTTGATCAAAAACATAATTAATGTGCATAAATAAGGAATAGTTGTATTAACCTACATGGAAACAGAGTTTTGAGGCCCCCAGGAACTTGAGGCCCTAGGCAGCTGCCTGGTACTGCCTAATGGTAATTCCCCCCCTGGCTGCAGCGCCATGCTGCCCAAACCAGCACAGCTTTGACATGTTGTGTGGGGGGGTGTCTGAGTAGCTGTGGTTGCAGGACACTCCCTGCTGTGATACACTGAGTCAGCAAACCACACGAGTTCATGACTCATCAGGTTCCTGTGGAACAACTGAAGTCATCAGCAGACGGTTCCAACAGTTTCTGTGTGAAACAGCAGATCAGCTCCACCTGAGTCTGACTGAGTCCAACTCACTGCTCAACCTGAGACAGACAGGGATAGGAATGTTTGAGGGAGAAAAATTAAATGAGAAACTGCCTGCCATATTCTGTAGAGCCATAGCACTCTCAGTTTATCATCTATTAACACATTAATTCCACTTACGGGACCCGAGTACGGCTTAATAATATTGACAAGTCGCTTTATCTCAATAACTCAATTAATTAAACATCTTAATTAATAGATTCTAATCTTTTAAAACTTAGCTTCTCCTGCTCATCATTTTTTACAGATAATAAGATAAAAAAACAAACAGCTGATTGCTTCCAGTAATTCACTTTACAGGATTCTCTCCTCCTGGATGAGCAGCTAGAGACAGGATATTTGCTCATCAATCTTAAAGGTGTTGTGCAGGATTTTCGAGAATATTAATTTTTTTATTCTTTTCAACTTTAAAAAATTGCACATGCGAGAACGTGCACGAGCCCAATTCTCCTTGTGCACTCTCCATTTAAAAGTGGCTGTTTTCATAACTCATACCATAGACATTAAAGACGTAGACGCCTCATTGGACGCTGCCGGCAGCAAGGCCGACATACCTAGAGGGCGGCCATCTTGGATCAGACCACAGTTCAGACAGCTGCTGTCAGAATGAACAGGAGGCGCCTTAGATCTCATTTTAATCACATGAAAGACGAGTCAGAGATGATATTATAATAATCTCAAAACCCCTTAAAAGAACAAAACCAAGTCTAAAATGGCCTTTCAGTTAGATTACTCAGAGTTATTCACATTCAAACTATTTAAACTGAACATTCATTCAGTATTTTTAAAGAGTATTATGATCTATAGAGGAAACTTTGTTGTAATGTGATTTATAAAAATGAGTAAAGTTATTATATTTTTTTTCTAATTAATTTAAAGTTAGTTTTTATTTCTTTTTTTTTTTTCATTTTCATTGTCAAGACTGTTGTCAAATCGTAGTGAATAGTAAATTAATGTTGTGTCTATCTAAAGGCTTTTTGTCCTTATAAGTTTGTCTAAACTTGTTCCAAAACTGTTGTTGAACTATCTTTATGATTTCTTTATCGTTATTTATGCATATGTAAACATTTGTCCTTTAATCAGTTAATGCATGTCATATAAATATATATAGATATATGTAACGTATATA